GGTGTTTGGTTCCCACCATTATCTGATGCAGTGACTCCTACATGTGACACTTTTTGCCACGCTTTGTGGAAAATGGGGCATGAATTAGCACCTGTTCAGAGCGCAGACACGTCATAATGCCGAAGCAGGAAATAAAGCGGTGGTAAGTAGAGGCTAAGGTTAAAAGGAAGTGAAACACAAAAAATAAAATAAAATAAATTTCACTCTCAAATCGAATTCAAGTTTGTTTTCCATCTCTCGTTGTGCAGTCTTATCTCTCCCTGCGTCTGTCATTCGTCTTTTCTGTTGCAGTAATTTCTGTCATGTCAGACAATGACGAGTCTAACCCATTTACACAGGGGATAATTACCCTGTCATCATCGTTAGAGTGTAGCAGAGCAGCACACCCCGCAGCAACCCAAACAAAGGCTGAAGGATTTATACAATGGCAGCAAGTATCTGGCAAATGAAAGCTCCCTGATTTAGGCTCTCCTAATTCTTCTTCTGATTCTTTTATCATCATCATGGTTATTTCTTTGGCCAGTCCAGTTGTTAGAATAGTATGCAATGCAACAATTACATTACCCCAAAACGGAATGATGCCGATTGCGTTCAAAATGAGTTTAATAGATAATCACATTTTGTTGTTATCAAAAGCATTTGCTATATCTAAAACAGACAGATTTCTGGGTATGACTACGGAAGAGGTTTTAGCACTAATATTATGATGTTTCCATTTAATTCAGGTTACACAGACACTCTCGTTCTTGGTAAGGATGTGGCTCGACACAGATGTAACCTGTGCTACATAACCCCTGACATAGAAAATGTTCTGTGCATTTCCATCACAGACAAGTCTTAATATAACATCATAACTGTTGCTACAACATTTACAGCTGTTGTCATTGGCCTAGTTTCCCCCTAAACAAGCCTAAACTATGAGCAAAAGGTTCTTTCTATCTGTGAAATACTTTGCAGATATTCTCTTGTATTGTTTTTTATTTATTTATTTTTTATAAGTGTGTATTCCTTTTTTTGGGTTGCTTTGCAGTGCAGGCATGTTGTGTCAATGGTCGAATAGCACTATGGTCTTCCTATTTATTGAACTAGACTTTTGCCGTGACGGTCTCATTTGTAGAACAGCCAATAGTAACGCCCTTTCTCTGAAATGATCTATGATTAGCTAAAGTCTCTCTAAACGGGCTAGATTTTCTAAAGCCTTAAAATAGACCCAACAAGAGGTGCAGAAGTTTCGTTTTTTCTTCAGACCAATTGAATTACAATATGCTAATAGGTTGTTTTGAGTTTTTTGTGAAACATGACACCACCCCGTGAAACAAATGCCTATTCCATCTTTAAGGTTAATGGCAGTACTCAAACTGAAGCAGCCTACCTAGAGGGTTTCATTCCAGCCTAACTGTGCTGACTCTGGCTTGATCAAATGTCTAAAAGGCGCTCTGTAAGTTGATTAATTGTGGCTTATTTCCTGGAGAAGTCTGGTAGCCGACTGTAGGCTCTTAATGAAGAAGCCCAGGGTGGAGTGAAGGAAAGTAAGAAAAACAATAGGAGAGAAAGGGAGAGGGAGAGCATGTTTTAAGATGCCACTACAGCAAAGCTTTGGCAAACCGCTTATTTTTCAGACCTCCAATTGAGACAACAAGGACCACAATGAGGCAGATCAATAATATCTTTCCTGGCTGTTGCGTAGTGTCAGTGTAATGGTTACCAACGTATAATTGGATGGTCTTTCTCCCTTTCTCTCACGGAGGAGAGCTGGAAAGGTCAAATCCCCTCAAAGACCACACAAGCTGCAAATTAGATCCATTTGAAGCCAGAGGGAGGAGTATTTTTAAGCTTTAAACTGCATTTACTAAATTACTTCCTGGAAGAACTGACTTCACATATAATATTAATCGAACCAAGGTTAAAAAAGGGAAAAAGATAAAGATTTGAAAATGTCCAATGAGAACATTTAAGAGGTAGTATTATTATTAGTATCCTTGAACTATAGAAATGTAATTTTACTGATTCCCTTTAACTGAAAACATACGTAAACTTCGATTTAATCTTGAGTCATATGAGGATAAAAATCCTTACTTATAAACCCTGTCATCGCCTCAGTGAGCTTTATGTCACAAGGCAGTGTGTGTGTGTGTGTCCTTTTCCCCTGACTTTTCACTGCCCTCACTCTCCACTACCACGTTGGCAGATGAATAATTTTGCCGCAGGGTAAGGAAAGGTGAAAAACACTGCAGCTGGTGGCTGTGTGTGTGTGTGTGTGTGTGTGTGTGTGTGTGTGTGTGTGTGTGTGTGTGTGTGTGTGTGTGTGTGTGTGTGTGTGTGTGTGTGTGTGTGTGTGTGTGTGTGTGTGTAAAGGTATTAATAGTTAAAGATTAATCCTGGAAAAAGAAAAGGCCAGAGGCAGCGACTCTGAATAAATTATCTCATCAGATCTATGTGAACGACAAACCTGGCATTTAAACGTGGCAGCACAACAATGCTGAATTGGAACATTGAGAAGTAAAGATGCCATTTCTAAAAGGAAAGGTGATAGAGAGCAGCAAGCACATGCAAAAAAAATCAGTGGAAAAAGTGACTTTTCTGCTGCTTATTCACCTTGCCCCCACTTACCAAGAATCACACAACAAATTCTGGATGTTAAGATCATTCTGTCTCTTTGCCAGTAGACTAGACAACATTTATGTCATTACTTCCATCCCAAGAACCAAATGTTCTGTAAAAGTGTTCTCTGACATATTTACACATGATGTGTCAACACTTGCTGAATCAACCATCTCATTACTATGCACTCCATGCTGTTGTCACACTCCAGCAAATCCCCCATGAAACATGACTCACTGTAAATACTGAATGTGCTTTTTGGCGGTTCTGGAAATGTTTCCAATGTATTCAACACTCTTGAATAAAGCACCATACTCAATACAAATGCCTGCGATAAAATTCCTGTTTACCCTTCTTTGTGACTTATTCTCCAACGTCACATAGGTGGGTAAAAATGTGTTATTTCGCCTTGTCTTGTTACTCATACTCAAACAATAGCCCACATACTGACACACTGTCACACATTGTTATATAGAAGCTGCGTTCGAATCTAACAGGTGTTGAAAACTCTAGAAAGATCCTTTCACTAGTGATGACACCAAACATTATACTCTTTTCTGGAGACGAGACACACTGGAGGCAGCAGTGTATTGACAGCTTTGTCTGTCTCCATCTCAAATTCTGACACTGAAAACGTCTTTATGTCACCAAATTATCTTTTTCACAACAGTTAGGTTTTTCAGCATTTGAGTGAGGATGTTTACTATTGGCATTGGTTGAATTTTGATGCAAAGCGAAAAATGACCAGACTTCTTACCGGAGGAAAACAATGCAGACACTGCGTCACATCCTCTCTGCACAAGCAAAATGAAGAGGCAGTACATGTGTTTCTGTGTGAGTGTTTATGTGTGCGCCCCTCAGATAAAGGTTTAAGATTACATGTGAGTCCAGCTGTTGGTTCTCCCACAGGGATTCTGTGTTAAAAGCTCAGAAGCAGATTATCTCCCCTGCAAACACCACACACACACACACACACACACACACACACACACACACACACACACACACACACACACACACACACACACACACACACACACACACACACACACACACACACCACACAACACACACACACACACACAACACACACACACACACACACACACACACACACACACACAACACCACACACACACACCACACACACACACACACACACACACACACACACACACCACACACACACACACACACAGACACACACACACACACACACACACACACACACACACACACACACACACACACACACACACACACACACACACACACACACACACACACACACACACACACACACACACACACACACACACACACACACACACACACACACACACACACACACACACACACACACACACCTTTGATTCATTGTTTGTTTTCCAAAATGCCAGAAAATGTTGTTTCAATTTGTGATTTCCTCTGGTTTAAAGAATATAATAGTATATCTTTGGGTTTGGACTGACAAAACAAGACATTTAAATACATCACCTTGGTTTTTGAAAGTAGGGATGGACATGTTTCACAATATCCTGACATTTTAGAGATTAATTGAGAAGGGTACTCTGTAGATTATTCAATATTTAAAACAATCCTCTGCTGGAGCCGTGCTTCCATCATATTCTAAAAAGTGCTAAAGACATTTATTCAATTGCGAAGAGATTTACTAAATTAATTCCTTGTTTCTTTTACAGATGTTATAGTTACAGTTTAAATATAATCAAAGTACAGACAGCTGCTTTCTTTTCCCCAATCCTAGCGAAATGATTTGGATTGTGTGACTGCAGCTCAGATTTTTGAAAATGTCACAAAGTAATTTCACTGTGATAGAAGTTAAGCTGATAAATGATTTACTGGTTAAGAACTAATTAATGGCGATTATGAACACATGAATACACTGTTTAAAAAGCAGCTTTATCTATCACAATCTACAAATATGGCTGTGTCCACATTCAGGATACATTAGTGTAAAAATATGTGAGCATATAAGGAAATGACTCACTTTACAAGAAAGGGAATTTGTATTTTTTGTTAACCCTTGTTTTTCCTTGTGCTTTTCCCTCACTCACCTGACCTGTACAAAATCTGAACTCATGTTATGTCCAATACTATCAAACCACTATATGTACTACAAAACCAACACCATAAACAACAATAAAAATAAAAAGTCAGAAAAACACACGTGTCTTACAAAACTACTCGGTGAATTAAAACAAAAACTACTATTACAAAAACACTATTTAGATAAAAACAAGCCTCTGTCTTGCTTTTTGTCACGACCTGATAAATTGACTTAAGATGCCCCATTGATGCCCCATTTGTTTATAAGAAGACTGAATAAGCTAACACAACCAAAGGTAATAGTGTTTTTGTCGTGTTCGTTGTGTGTTTACCTGGCGGGCTAGCACTGACGGGGGCTACACAGAGGAGCACCGCGGCGAGCAGCAGCAGCGAGGCCTGGCGCAGGCGTCCGTTCCTCGGGCTGGAGAGCAGCAGCATCTTGGGGGTCTTCTCGGGGACGGAGAGCCGTAGACGGAGACGCAGTTCGTTGTCATTCCTCCATCACTCCTGTTTTACGTGTGTATGTTTTTCAGCGTGAAGGACTCACAGAGATGTACCGAGCAGGTGTAACCGGGACGCAGTCTGTGACACACTGCGCACTGTAATCCGTGGCGGGTCTAAAGATAGCGGAGCTTCCCGCGAGGAGGGTGGGTGTGTATGTGTGCTTGTGTGTGCGTGAGTTTGACATGCTGCCTTCAAGGCCTCCTTGTAAACTCCGGAATAACAACAGTACATAGACTGATTACCTGGCAGACATGTGTGTTTTCTTTTTAAATAGCCTCTGTTATAAGCATTCGTGCATATTCTTGACATGTATACATAGGACAAAGCTTCAAATATAACACTGTTTCCCCGATAATATGTAGCCTAAGTGAAATCTGGACATTTTAGATTTCTTTAGGGAATTTAAGCTATTTATTAAATACATACATTTGATTTGATTTACTGTATATTCTTATTGGCTGATAGGGAATACAGTGATGCTCAGAAGTCGCCAATGTATCCTAATAAATGCCTCTGATATTCCTAGTATAATCAGTTCTGAATCTGGCTCCAGAAGGATTTTCAGTCAAATTCCAATTACCAAATGTAATTGAAAATGCTTGAAGAAATGCTTGAAGTCTAAAATGTGTTTAATAGATGTACATTTACCTAAAGTAAAAACAAATGCTTCTGGGCTTAAATGTTTCAAAATACCACCCACAAGCTGTTTGATGAACACATCATTTGAATTAAGGCAATATGTAAACTCATTGTTTTTAGCTAGCTGTTTTAAACCAGCTAGTAAAAACGGATCCACAACCGAGGAGTCGCTGTTTCCCACACTACCTGAAGGCAACAGTTTACTGAGAGATTACAAACAGAGCACAGGAGGTGGACGTGAGACGTGATGACGTGGTAAAACCGGTTTAAATAACCAGATTTACACACTGCCAGAGATATGCTGATACAAATTGATAATCTAATTTTAATGCTGTTAAATTTACATAGCCAATCATTCATTTTTTCTTCGCAATTCATCATTAAACAGCTCAGATTTGCTAATCATATTTTATAATAAATAAAGTGGTTGAAGAAGAAAGTTGATAAGCAAATAGTGTATGTATGTAGCAGGTGCTGTGAAATGAAATCGCATGACGTATTTCAAGATATACTTCAAATAAACAAACACATCATGGTTGATCTATTCCTATTGTTTTCCATTCTGCCTATTAACTCCATTATTCTTTTCCAAACACTGGCTTAAATGGGGAATGACATCTCGTGACAGTTTGTTTGCTCAGAGTTGAAACACAAAACCACAATTAAAATAAAATGAAACCTAACACCAAACTGCACTTCCATCTGTGGAATAAATCTAATGAATCAACATTAACAACTACTAGTATAAATGTTTGAAAAATAACATGGATGATTTACCATGTGGGAAATATATTTCCTTTCATTTCAATGTAATTACACGCCCACCAGGAGCTTCATATACTCAGAACTATAAATATAATTTCACTTTACCATTAAAAATAATATTGGCTTGTGTTTAAATCTTGAACACATTTATTGGGACTGTGCTGTCTCACCCATGGGTGATTCTGAACAAAGCTGAAACTAAAACCATATGTTGTTGAAGCAGCACACAGTGAAATAGTAACATGCTTTAAAGTCAGGTTCAACAAATTGACTGTGGAAGTTCCAGATTTTATTATTTTAGTAGAAAGAAAAATTCCTGAGCTGATACATTTCACTGCTGCGGATAAATGCAGTTATGTAAATGTAGGATGAAGAAAAAAAAAGAGGTAAAATGTTTGATAATTAGGTTTTTAATTGTATTAATGAGACTCATAGTCAGAAAGTAAATACAGAGAAGAAACCAGAAACAGGAGCTGTGTCACACCTCTCTTTTGGCACTTTTCAGCCACTGTTTAACAGAAACTTAGACAGCTGGAAATAAAATAGCATGTAAAATGATTTAAAAAAAAGAATCCTCTGCTTCTTGTCCATACTCCGTTTCTGCCTCTGAGCTGTAACACACACAGTCCTGAGGTATGGGTTGGCAAAAGCCTTATAGAGGCAAACAAAATTAAAATACAATTAAGATAAAACAATCATGTTGGATTTTAAATTAATTCAGCAGCATTTAAGAACAGGTCCACTGTATAACAAAATAAATCATAAGCTCACATTTGATGTACCACAAAACACAAAAATCATGCAACAAATTATTAGTGAGAATAAAGTGAATATGAACAAAGTGATTAAAGAGTTTTTATGTATGGAAGTGATTACACATATCAATGCCCAGATAATGGTTTAGCTTTAGAAAGACAAGACTGTATTCATCAAAACAATGTAAATGAAAAAATTGGCCTTTGCAGGTCGTATGTTACCGACTGATGCAAAAACCTTTCTGTACTTCAGCAAACTCAATGGAATATAAACTAAATATTAAAACAATTTGAGTAACCCTGTAGAGTTCTCCTTACATTTGAAGGTGGCCAAACGCATCTAATCATTGCACAATGTAAATGAGACGATGTATGACTGCAACTATTACTTATTGCAACACACACAAACTAATGAATCTGCTTAGACAATCGTACCCGTGTTTCAAAGTGCATAGACCAACCTGTGACTTAGCAACAGTAACACTTAGACTTCAGCTGTAAGAAAACAGCTTTGGTAATGTTTGCAAGATGGCATGATCAAATACAATTTAATAATGAGTGCAGTTATTTGTATTTGGGGAAGTAAAGGACAAAATCTGCAAAATCCAAACCTTATTTCTTAATAATAATAATACTTATGAATTCAATGGTCAATCTTACAACATTTGTATTCTTTTTTCCTTGCATGATGTAAGGGTTTCCTCTGCTAGGAATGATATTATAACACACACCTTATCACACACGCACACACACTATAGCAAAAAGGAAATTCAGACACACACAGATGCTCACAAACATTTCTTCAATAGGTCAACCTGGCAAATTGCATTCACTCTTTAAATTCCCTGAAGTTGCTTGCAAGTACAAAATAAACGTCCCAAATTGGCCCCAGTTCATCTCCTTCATCTATCATTGTATTATTGAGCATCGACGGCAGCTAACACCACCTAGTGGCCAGGTAATACTCCATCACTGAATATTTAACAGTAGTTATCGAAGTGAAAAGGTGCACTAAAAAACAAACTGCATTGCATAAAAAAACCTAGCTAAGTACATTTTGGCCTTATCTATATTTCCCTCTAAACTGAAGTAATTCTACTCAATTATTTACGTCATTAGCATCACAACCACCATGTACTGTATGTGCCTACAATAGCAACACTACAGGCATCTTAACCTACAGCTTTTGGCCTTAAATTACCGATTTTAGTCTCATTCCAGAGAGATCTGCACCACATAAAATAAAAGCCCCACGATGTCTCTCTGTCTGATAAACCATATTTAGGTTTCAAAGTCACGACAGGATGAGAAGATGGCCGTCACACTGCTTTACTCTCCTCTGTAAACATGCAGGCGGGGTCAGTTCGAGCTCTGTGTAGGGCAGTGAGGGGCTCTGAGAAACTGACGAGAGATCAGTGTTAGGACACTGCTTCTGGATCAGCAGTGGTCAAGGCTCTGCGTCTGGAGCGCTGTTTGAGTTTGTGTTTTGAGAGGAATCTGCTGAATATGGTTCAGTTCTGTCATCCTCTGTGGCTTCTGTGCAGAATTGTTTGTGTTGTGCTTCTTGCTCCACTTCCTTAAGAATCATCCCATCTTTCTCCAAGACAAACTCCAGGGTGGGCCCTCTGGCCGCTCCGTCCTCCAGCTCCCCCTCCTCTGCCAGGCGGAGTTTGATGTTCATGCCGGCAGGTTTTTCTGTCTTACCTGCACAATGAGGGCCAATGATATGCAAAATTAGAACAAGACCACCGAGAGGAATTAAGATTTGATGTAATTGTGTTAGCTGGGAGAGCAGTGCTCCTTCTGAATCTTGTTAAAGTAGGAAAGTACACATTTTAAATTCTTTAATCTTCCTCCCATCCTTCTCACTAGAGTTCAAACCCGGGAAAAGATATCAGAACTACTGACCTTTTCCATGAAAACATATAAAAATGGCTAACCAGAACTAGTTCCAGACCTATAGATTGATTACTAGATATGGCGATCTTTGGCCTTAATAACTATTAAGACTCATATAGGTTTTTGCATATTTCTCCTTGTTGCATGAAGTGTTGCTTTAAGAATGACCAATGTATTTGGACTGTTATAATATGTCTCCATGCCCCTCACCATGTCCCAGCTGCCTCTCTTTGGGCAGCAGCAGCACATCCACATTGTGATTTTCCTTCAGAGCGGATGTGAGCACGGCCCCCTCCTGGCTGAAGAGGAAGACTAAAGGCAGGGTGAGATCTTCAGTGGAGTCGCCGTCTCCAACCATTTGGAAGAGGGGAGAATCCTGACTGTTGCTTCCCTCTCGGTGGTCTGAGGAAAAATAATAAGGGAGCAATTTGAACGATAGTGTCTTTTTGAGGACCAAGTCAGTATTTGATAGCCACTATTACCTTTGAGGTGGACTTAAAGAATATATGTGGTAATCTGGTATTTGTCCTCACCTATAAAGATGACTCCTATGGCTCCTGCTTCCTGCAGATGACGAGCCTTTACAGCGAACATGCAGTCCCCACGCAGCGCCACGGCAATATGCCCTTTAAGCTGCGCTGCATTATCTACTGGCACACATGCAGTGTAGGGGGAGGCTTTCGCTATGCTGCCCTTCACCTGGGGAAAAAGAGTGTGTTATTGCATGTTATTTGTAGTTTTTTTTAAAGTTACATCTCTGTCTCTTTGGCTGCACGGCAGTAAGTGGTTTGTATTTTGATCTTGCTTGCCATTTTCCCTTTTATATATCTTATTATAGTGACTAGAAGCTCACCCCGTGCTCCTGCTTGGTTAGGTCCATCCCAAACTTGGCAGGTCCCGCTGTGATGACTGTCCTACCCAGAAATGGGGGGGATATGAGCTGAACAACATGGGGCACCACCTCCTCTTCCTCCGGTGCTTGGCTCACCTCTGCTACAAGTTTGACCCGGTAAACGCCTTTATGGTCCTGAAAGGGATTCATATTTAGAAACTCTCTCAAGGAAATTCTGTGTTTTCTTAAAATGCCAAGAATATGTTTTGCTTTCATAACATAACGTTTTTGAGGTCTATACGAAATACCATTCGAACACTGTCTCCTCCCATTACCTCATTAAGCGGGGTGAGAGAAATGCCCATGCTTTTCAAGAACTCGACTGGTTCCATCCCATTGTCATGGAACGGGAGATCAATTTCCCTGTAAAGCAAAAACACACATAAGTTAACACTCAAAGTAATCATGGTAAAAAATGTTTTCACTGAGGATTTCACTTTAAAAAGTCACACACCTGACAGGTACAGGGTGGAAGGCTCGTCCCACCCCGGTGAGGTACTTGTAGCTGTCCCGGATGGTTTTAGCAAACGAGGGGTTGTTGGGGAATAACGTCTCCATGCTGGGGCAGGAGTGTGTGAACAGGTCTTCTTCTTGGGAAAGAGGAACAGTCTCCTGAGGAACAGGACCGACAGCTGCTCAGTTCACAGTAGTTGTCAACAATAAACAGTATTGCTTAGGACAAAACTACTATTCAATTACTTGTGACATTAACTCCTATAATAACTAATTCATACACAGTTAAAATGTCCTTGTCATGATTGAATCTACTAGCAGCTTGTATAAATGAGATATTTAGAATTTAAAATAGCTATATGAGGTGTATTTTTTAGTGTTCATATAACTTGATAATTCTCACAGTGTGGTTGCCTTGATAGGGGGGCTTTGTGATGGAGAGGGACACTGGGAGTAGGTGGGCCTCGGTGGTGAAAATGTAGTCGTCGATATCGATCGGCAGCTGGCTCTTCTCCGAAAACAGCAGGTACAGGTATTTAAACATCTCAGCCAGGAAGAAGGAGTCCATCCTACACATCAGGAAACATATGATGTTATTGCATGTTCATAACAGATGTTTTGAGTTTCCATAACAACAGCTAACACCAAACTAAAGTTGCTATTACATATGAAGCATGTGTGATGGCATTTGTTTACCTGTCTTCATGCATCCCAGTGCGGACATCTTGCACGGCAGCAAACCCGCAAGGCACCCTGGCGTAGGCGTTTAGCTTCTCCACGATGGACTGTCCCACTCTGAGGTAGTAGGGGTCGCCAGTGGCCTGCAGAAATGTAAATATTATTTAAACTACACATCTAATAAAAATGCTTAGTGTATATATAGTGCCAAAGTGTAGTAGTTTCATCCACTTAAAAGGGTAATTTAAGTTGTTTATGGCACTGCCCTGTCACCTTATAGAGGTAGTAGGTGCTTTCTGCAAACTCTGGTCTCAGAAGGTGTTGGCCCCAATGAACTCTGAACTCTGAGGTGAATGCCTGCAGGAGATTAAGCAAAGAAAGCAAAAGTGAAACAGGCTTCTTCTAAGAAAGTACAGATTTCATACAATAGGACAAAGAAGATAAGCCACAATACATTTCCATTCGATATCTTTTAATCTGTTGTTATATCATGACATATAAACTATATCTTAGAGTGTTACAAATGTGTGATATGATATACATTTTTAGAAGTTTATTTTATATTAAAATGTAAGGTTTTTTCATATCTATACTTACATTACGTAATTGCAGGCAGTGTTGAAATGAGAATGAATGTTTAAAGGCAATATATTATGTCATGTCATATCATGTTTCAATTTAAATTGTCCGATTCAACTCAATAGAAAGCCAATAGCAGACATTCCCATCTGGCTACTGTTCTTAGCTCTTGTTGTGTTCAGTTTAATACATAGTTACCTTTATAGTATACCTACTATATGCCGTTAATTAAGCAAAAAGCGCAGAGATCCTTTACCTCTGGAAGGAACTTGTGTTGTTTGGTCACTTGGTAAAGCATTTCATGAGTCTCAATAGCTGGTTTCAGATCCCCTCTCAAAACCTGTGTGAAAAATGAATGTCACTCCAGAGACACGTGTGCAGTTCTACGGACCCCTTCTGTGATTTAATGGTGGTAAATGTGATTAATGGAGGATCTCTGACCTGTAAGCCGGGGAAGAAAGCCAGGAGAGAGTCCATCCAGCTGCGCACGCTCACAGTGGGATTGTGCATGTGGACGTTGAGCAGCAGGGGGGGCTGACTGATGTACTTCATAATGGCACTGTAGTGCTGTTACAGACAAACATCATGAAACATGTATTAGCAAGCACCGACAAAATGGCCAATTACGTGTCAGCAGGGAGTACAATACAGCAGGTGCCAAAGGCCTGGGTATAGATGTCTATGTGGGTGTACAGTGATGGAGGACTTACAATGTTAAACCTCTCCAGGAAGACATTGTCTCCCAGAAGAATGTAGGCCTTCATCAGATATTCATAGTACGAGTCGATACCAGCACCGACTCCGCTTTCTGCAAACACACAAGAGAAATGATTATGGTTCACTTAAAGAGCAGTGGAATAGGTTTATGTTTTTATTCATCACTAACTTTGTTAATATGCACATTTCTGGTTTGACACATTGACTTCAAACATTAGAAAAGGCTTGGAAATCAACAGGTTTTTAGGCATGTACCACAACACTAACCTTTTCAAAATGAGAATAAAGAGACATGCTATGTTTACTACCAGCTGTATGTAACCCTGAATATAAGTGAAATATTCTTCTTCGTTAGCCATGTAAACAAAAAGAAAGTAGGAATTGTGTTGTTTTGAAATTAGGGCAAAATCCAAAATATTTTGTGGATGTAAAAGTAGTTAAAGTTCTAGTTTTCATTTTTTGTCTAAAGGAAATGATTGCCTCACCCCTCCGGACCCATTCTTCATTGTGGATATTGATAACAGTCCCCACTAGGTCACTTCCCTTCTGTCTCCTCTGCCAGAGGACATCCAGAGCCTTCCTCGCATGTTCCTGTGAAACAATAAGAAGCACCACATGTTTAAAATGCGTATGGTAAAAACAGTTAAATCATTCATATTTTAATCCATCCTCAATGACTATACTTTATTCTTTTGTCTCAGTTATTTCAACAAAAAGGGCGTGTTACACAATAATACAAAACATCTCTATAGAGGCAGAGTGAGATAATACCTCAAACACAGACTCCCCTGACAGCCTGCTGAGAGCAGCAAACTCCAGGATCATTGTTCCAGCACACGCTGTGCAGGTGTCCGATTCTGTGCCTGTGCGTGAAAGGGGGTTCAGGACTCCATACCGCAGATTCACCTGGAAAACCAGAAAATAAAACATTAATCTTGTCACTTTTAGTAGAACATTTTTGTCAACTCGAAGCTCTTGAAAAAAAACCCAGCTACCAACTAAATAATTTAAGTTGAATAATAAACCATTATGCAAATCAGTTCATCTGTGGTGCACTGATTGCAATGAACTACATCTAAAATAAGACTTGTGATATTTAACAGTATAATTAGAAATACCTTAGGGTAAGGTAGGCCACTTGTGGTGTTGAAGGCAGGCAGTAATCGATGGCCCAGCTCTTTGGCCATGTGTAGAAGCTCATCGCGGTACCACTGCATCCTCTCCCCGCGCTGCTTTAGGAGGTCGGCCATCACGTGGCCTCCCAAAAGCCCTCTGGGGAGAATTACATAAAACAAGGAAATGAAGGTTTTACTTTTAAAATTGCATTGAAGAGTTTGGGGTGAATAGGTTGAAATATGATATACAGAACAACATTTCTGACCAGTAATAGTGATATGGGATGTAATTATACATCAGGAATAATTATCCAAAACATTCTGCTTCACTCAGATGTTGTAAAGACTAATCTAAGAAGTGGATGTAGACAGTTAAAAAGACACGTTTCATACCCTAAAACTCTGATGTTGGTCTCAAACACCGACACCACCACATCGTTGTCCAGCCGCACATCCGTCACAACCTTCCTCACTGCATCCTCAAACTCATCCAGCTTGTTTAACACCTGCTCACACACAGACAGGAACAGATACAACTCATGTCAAGATAAGGAAGGAAAAAAAGCCTGAAAACAAAAGCATGGCGAGAAATAAGACTCCAAAACTCAATTAAATCCAACTACTTTGATGTTTTTAGCAAGAGGGAGTACTCACCACCAGGGTATCCAGTGTGTCTATCAGTGTGAGAGAAAACCTGCGGAAAAGAAGGAACACATGTTGTGATGGGAGTCAGCACGGGGGAGCTGGTGTCCCACTTCGCCACTAAATTAGCCTAATTTGAACTGATAAATGCCAAACATGTTGAATAAACTGTGAAATGATATTATGCAGCTTGGCTTGAGCATGAATGGAAGTATTCCACTGCAAGTCCATGACTTATTGCCATCCTGTAAATGTAATTGACTGAAATTAGCATCTTATTCATGTGTTCCTGAGAAACTGGGGCATATAGTCCAAGTTGAATTAAGTCTGTCTGAAACAGCATGGTATTACTAAATGAAATTAGTAATTTTCTACTTTGAAAAAGTCAAATACTGTTTTAGGATGAGAAGAAATTACATAAATGTCACATTTTGTGTGGAATCTATATTCCATTTACCCATTTGCTCCCATGCAAACTTATTTTGGACTTCATATCCTAATTTATCACCAAATAAATAACCTGCATAAATTCTATTTTTAAATAATATGTTCTTTTTAATGTATAAATAATAGTATTTCAGAATGCAGAGCAACAGATCAATTTCATGTTTTTTGTTATCGTATACCTTGGAAAGTAACGGGAAACACAAAAATCTCCACTTGACCTTGATCAAATCTTTACATTTGGATGTCCTACAATTAAAATAGGAATGTGGATTCAAAATGGCTGAAACTCCCGAGGCGTGTTTTTCTTTTTAGAATCTATCGCTTTCTTTAACATTCTCAGTGATGAGTGAATCTTGAAAGAAGGCAAAGGGCTGGACAGATATATATTAACTTGAAACAAGCACAAATATTTGGGTAGTTACATTTTTACAATCAGCAAGGAGATTAAAAAGCAACTGTGGCACATCTCTGAAGAAAGCTCTAAAGAGATATGGCATTCCAGACAGTTAGAGTACATAATAAACCTTAGAGGATAGATTTGTTCTAAAACTGATTGATTAAAAAGAACATGGCTTGTTAGCTTGAGGAAATGTAACCCAACTTACTTCCCCAAAGAGTCGTCTATATCCCCTCTGTTGGGCTCCTGGCCCCGGACTCTCCCCCGGCAGCTTAAAGGCATCAACTCGTCTGCTGGATAAGCATTTTTCTGCAACACAAACAACAAAAACTGCCTTCAACTTCATCAAGCAGCCAACAGTAAGGTGTCATTAGGAAAAGGTGGCTGGAGTGTTGCAAATTCTTTAAGAGGGAAAAGCCCCTGGCAACTTGAAGCTAAACACAACCGCTGGGTCACTATTGGTACATTATTATGTATTTATTTCAACAAGGAACATGCATACAAATACAATAATCTCTGAAAAGAGAAGAGATGAATTATGCCAGATTTGATCTAATAGCTCATTTCCATCTGCAGTCCTTAGGTAGGTACATAACAATCAACAAACACTACAAACATTGCATAATCTCTATCACACAAACAATTGTAAAACATGATTTAAGTACAGGTCAATAAAATAATACATAGTACAGTTAAAATATAATATTACAATACAGTTATAATTGAAAAACTCAGATTACAGTGTAATTAATGTTGGCATGACTGGTTGCTTAATATCATTTTTTTTTGTTAAAGTCAGGGTTTTTTTCACTCATCGTTTTCCCTACATTTTACTGGCTACTGAATTGAGCTTTCCAATCATTGAGATCGAGGGTCAACATACAGCCTATAGGGAGCATATTCTCTAGATCTTATTCTGCCTGAACTTTGAACCACTTGATGGTCTAGCCAACCCTGACCCAATCATCTCTGGCTGTCATTGCTTTCTTTCTGTAGGGAAAATCCTGACTAGGACCCGAGGAAGACAACTGTGTAATCCCTGACACAAAGCTGAATCAGAATGTTCCGACACTGCAGCTGCAACATAATCCTGCATGTTGGCTTTCTTCACAATCTCACAAAATCCGATCCAACTGCGTTGTCAGCCCCTGATTCAAGCTTTCCTAAACTGAATGACCTCAATCGAACTCCAAAGCATGTTACTCTCACACAATAAAGTAGTGCTTTTCTATAAATGTTTTCTTTATTCAAGCTTTTTATAACTTCCCTTTAACAGTAATACAATGATTCGATCAAAGTCTTACCATGTAACTCCCATAAGCGTGATCAAACATTTCGAGAATCTGGTCCCTGCAAAAAGAAATAGGGACAAAATCATGGAATGAAAATGGCACGAACACTGTAATTTTTCACAATATAGAAGAGACTTTCAAAGCCACTCACTCACAGACAGATCTAAACAGGGTTATACATGTCTGTATGTCCTCACCTGATAACAGTCTTCTCCTCTAGTGTCATGATCTGGCTGTCTTGACATTTCACCCAGCCAAGAAGACTGGTGATCAGTAGAGTTTTCAGCAACATCCCAGCAGAGTGTGTTGCCTGTAAACCTCGTGTAATCGTGTTCCAGGTTCAGCTTTAATATGGACAAACAAACTGCTGTCCTTTGTCCACCGCCCACACAAAGTCAAACAGTCCAGCAGTCCTCCTTCAAAGCCCCGATCATCCTCATTCAGGTAGAGATAGGCTGTAGAGATCTGGCTAACGTCTGGCTGACGTTAGCTACCTCCCAGCCCCATTTCCATATGTCCACGTTGGTTTTTTCTGTAGTTGATCCAGTATTGTAACGATCACCACATGCCCTCAGTGCACTTCAACTGACCGTTTCCATGTAAACAATGGAGGCAGCTAGCTACAGCTCAGCCTTAAGGACAAGAAAACATAACCGTTCACAAAACACTGGCTTGTTAGTCCAAACAGGGCTGGCGGGAAACTTTTTGTTAAATCAAGAAATGTAAACATTTCAAATTAGGAAAATATTTACCAAATTGATAGTGAGAGTGTGTAGCTAACGCCTGCTAGCCATCACAGTGCTGGGAGGATCCCTGTTGCTAGCCAGCTAACTAGTTGCTAACTAGTTCACCGTTAACAGAGCTAGCTAGTAAGCTAACAAGCATAAAAGCTCAATAAATAAAGATGGCTAAACATGAGCCTTTTCTAAAGTCACTTGCATTGTAAACTGGCTGTCATAGAGTTAAATGGTCGTTGACACGTCGTCCGTATAGGAGCCTGACGTCGGGTACCGAGCTGTCAAAGGACGGCAGGCTGTTGTGCTGCCCCCCGGCTGCGGGTCTGTCAGCTGGGGGCAACTGTGCCCTGAGTTTAGAATCTCAGGCAAGCTTCACTACCACGTATGCTTTTGCTGTTTACGAAGTCTAGCTTTCAGCTGATGCCCCTCGTAAAGTAGTTATATAAACATGCTTATAGACGCTTTAGATTAGTTTGAGGCGAATGGTTTCAGCCTGACATTTTAAAGGACATCGTATTTATACATCCATGGTCCAGACAGGGAAAAAAGTCCCCTTGCAGGTTGTACTGAGGGCACCATTACCAAAATATAACAGGACAGATTTGTGAGTAAACCACCAGTAACTTACTGATCGGTAGTATATTTTTAGGGTCCAATCATGGTCCTATTGAAATCTAATACTTTATTTATCCCACAATGAATTGGCCATAATAAGCTGCTTTCAAGCTGTATTAAACTTTGCACAAATCCAGGCATGGGGAAAATAGTGTATTGCACATGGGTCGTGGCACAATTGCACAAGAGCGCCCCCTACATCTTACTCTATAGTTTGCCACAAGATGTCGCAGTTGCCCCTCACCTCTCCCCTGCTGAAAAAACCAGCAAGACCAACAAGGCAGGTCTTGGTAAACCAGCCTGACCAGCCAGTCAATATTAGGCTGGATTAGTTTGCTGGTTTAGAGGGGTTTTGGACACTTTAGCTGGTCAGGATAGCTGGTTTGGTCACAGTGGTCTAGCTGGTCACCATTAGCTGGTCGGGGATAGCTGGTTTAGCTGGTAAAAGCTGGTGGTCACAGTGTTCTAGCTGGTCACCATTAGCTGGTCAGACTGGTATGATCTTGAGTAGAACTTTAGCTGGGATTACTTGATGGTTAAACTGGTCATATATGATGATGAAACACTCTCACCCAATTGCAGTAGCTCAATGAACATCTATCATTTCAGATCAGAGCACCTACCTTACCAGAAAGGTACCAGAATGTATAGAATGTATTGTCTGTAAATAAATACTCATACATCAAATGATTAGAAGCAGGAAAATAATTTATAACACACAATGAACATTAACACACATTTGAAAACATTTTCACAACACCCATTACTTCATATTTTTAAGCAGTTTCCTTCAACTGTTTCTTTCCGCTTTTCACAAGGTCCTGTATTTTTTGTGAAATGTAGTAACCGACAACTTCTCCCTCTCGGTCTTCTCCACGTTTTGTGAATTCAGCCATCCTCTGAAGCACTCTTGAAAAGAGAAAGGAAAAACAGATTCACTTTTAGCTTTGTGTTATGATTACTTAAATATGTGCACTGTGAGATGAAAAAGAAAAATGTATCAAATTTAGTTTTGAACATTCACTGTGATTGGGTCTATTATCCACGCAATACACCGTATTTAATTTTTTTCTTAATTTACATTATTTTATTTCATATTCTGTTCTTGTAAATATAATATTCTATTATATTACATGTATATAAACTTTTTGCACTACTTTTTATTTTGTATTTTTGTATTTTATTATATATGTTGCATTGTTGGAGGAGCTCAGGTCAGAAGAATTTCATTGACATTTCTACACTGTAGCTGCTGAGCATATGAGAATGAAACATTTGAATCTTAAATCCAACACTTTTTTCAGTGGAAAATCCTAAATTGTAGGATAGTTTGGCCATAATAATGCTTTATGATTACATTTCTAGTGAGAAGTGTATATTTTACTTTCAGAATCTACCCCCAGTGGATGTGTAGGATCTACAGTATGATAGATATATTACTTTACACCCGGAAGTATGTATTGTCATTCTTATTGTCGATAAATTGAGGGATACACGCTATATTTTATTAACACCAGTATGTACTTTATACATCCACCTCGAGTGTTTGTCTCTGCACTGGAAATGATTTAATTTGAAAGTTCAACCGCATATTATATAGACTATATCAGCGCCACACCTGCGTAACACATGGTGCCTCTTGTCTGAACCATTTTTTAAGCGATTTGTAATCTATTCTTGTCGACTTGCAGCCTAAATACAAAGATAACTCCACTCTCCTACCACTGCTTACCTCTAATGAGCCTTGGTAGAACTAGTGTCCCGAGTCATTGGGTCCAGAACTGACTGAAGACATGTGGAACAGAGTACAGGCATGGTTCCATGTACAGGAAACTGGAACTTTGAACAGGTGTTTTCATCTTTTCTGCCTGAAGATTCACAAGTTCTTGATCAGGTGTTTGATGTGGGCTGGCATGATCCTTTCTGCAGCGATAAATAAAGAAAACAAAGAAAACATTTTTAATAATAGTAATGATGGTAACAACAATAATATTAGTATAACTATTTATATAGCACTTACACAATTGCAAAGTGATTCTCACAACAAAAATAAAGAACAAAACAATATCAACAATAAAAAAACAAATGATTATAGGAATGTTAAGAGACAAAGAAATTATAAACATTCTGAGAGGCCGACTACAAAAGCTAGACTCAATGGCTTTTGATGACATCAATGAGCAGTCCCAATAGATGCTGTTGTATGAAAAGAAATAGAATAGGTCCAGATTTCTTCTATTTTGTGTTGGATGATTTGTTTTATTGATTGCTGATGGATGTATATATATAGGGTTTATTCAACAGCAGTAAAGCATTAAGTTGCTAAATTAACGTACACTGAACTGTAAAACAACTTACCACTATTTAGGAAAGGCTCTGATCAGGAGAGTTGACTAGTAGGACAGCTTTTTTCAGCAGGGTCAGTATGTCACTTCCATACCTCACCTGCATTATATGCATTTATATGTTTATGATCAGTGATATTCATTTGACTCTGCCTGCCACATTGTGTAGTACACAGGAGTGTGTGTTAATACGTTTGCTGAGATTAAAAGAGCCATTAATGAGGTGATTATTGTGCACAAGTAAAAAAAATAGTAAATGTATTTGGCTTTACGCGCATGATATATGTGTGCCAAAGCACAATTAAGATTATAAAACAATGATTGAAATAATAAATTAAAAAAACGATATTAGTTATTAGTATAAGATTTACAATAACACACGTAAATCATATATTAATCAAGTTTGTATTGGTATTTCAACATGATTAACTTTAACAATGCAAGAACAATATAAGAGTAAACATGTTGGTAGAGATAATACAAGATACTATGGAAAACGAAATATAATCTACTGATACAATAAAAGTTAAACAGTGATCAAGTTATGGTCTATAGTATTGATAGTAAACTATAGTAGCATAATTGATACAAACATATTTCAACCTTCTGCAGTTATATGACATTAAGAGATAACAGGGCCGTCCCTCCCTACAGGCCGATCATGCAGGCTGCATGGGGCCTCACATTGCGCAGGGGGCCTCGCGCAGGGGGCCTTGCGCAGGGGGCCTCTGCTTATGAGCTCGGCTTGTGCGCAGCTCTCAGCGCAGTTCACGGCGCAGTTCACAGCGCAGTTCTCAGCACAGTTCTCTGTCTGTCTAGTTGGCTTACATAACAGTTAAAGTTTACAGCCCAAAAAACATGGAGCATTTTTTCCCCTTTTATTCATTTTTATGTTAATTTGCACATTTCATGGTGATGCTCAGCCTCTCCCCTTAACTCCTAACAGTCATCATCATGTCAACCACAACACAGAGAAATACTGATAGAAATGTGTGTGTAGTTGTTGATACATTGCTGACAGAGGGAACTACATTTGAATACAGATTTAAGAAATATCCGTTTTTGAGCATGTCATAAGCATGTTTTGTCTTGACTATATTAAAACTATATTATAATAAAATAATAATATAGTATTTATATTATTGAGGGGGGGCTCATCTCACAATGTCGCTTGGGGCCCCAAGTTGGCCAGGGACGGCCCTGAGAGATAAGGTCGATTGTAAACGTTTATTTCGGTTTATGTCCTTCCTCCTTCTGACTCATGTCCTCATCCCTGCCTTGAGCAAACATGACTTTGGAACTGTCAGTACAGTGCTTGTTGGGTCACTCCTGAAATCAAATGGCTTCTGTTCAATACTGATCAGAGGATACTGTTTCTTTTAGTGAAGTGTCTAGATTGTTGAGCAAGAGTCAAGTTACAGAGAAACGCTAACATCCTGCTTACATCCCGCATTCTGTACAAACCACAGTGTAAAACTGAGGAGGAGTTGTGAAAAACATCATGATTCAACTTCCTCCAGTTTAAAATGGGCGTTGCCTTTCCAACTTCCCTTAAAGGTGTGGCGATTTTGTCATTTTGTGAAATTCCCCCACTGACATCAATCCAGTCCTCTCACTAAAGGTAAGATAAAAAGTAACGTTTCTGACTTTTGATCGCAGTATCTATTGATCTTCGTCGTTTTATCTGTCTGTGTTCCGTGTTTTGACTCTTTTCCCATCGGAAGGGTTGTTTGACTGCAGAGTCCGACATTAAAACGTTAAAGGCTTTAACTGTCTGCAGTTCTTGTAACGAACATGTGTCCTCGATTATTTTGGCTAACTAAACTTCAAAATGTCATAATAATCAAGAAGTGGATGCCTATAAATGCGAAGGCAGTGAAGGACAGAGGATGAGGAAACATTTGCAATGCTAAACAGAAAAAGGAGTCTAAAGCTGTAGAAAATCATCAAAATACCCTTACAGTATGTGGAGATGCTGATACTGTATGCTTTTTTTCTTCCTTTTAGTATAATACGTTCATCTTCAACTTCAACAATGTCTGGTTGGGTGAGTATTCAGGCATTCAAATTGGAATATAGGCTTCAAAAATGTAATAAAGGTGAAACTGTAATCATCTATGTTGACTTGTTTTTTAGGAAGAATTGGAAATGCTGTTGGACTCCCCCTCCTCACTGACTGCGACAGTAAGTTGAACATACTCAACATTTTTAGTGCCTGAATGATAATGATAGTTATTGTATAGGTGGCTTTTGCTTTAATAGATGGTGGCAAATACTAATTGAAAGCTTAGAACGTACAAATAATAAACTGCAAACAATTTAGCATGTTGTATAAACAAATACTTGGAGGTTTACATGTGTTTCTGTGCTCCTCAGTCCAATGTCAGAGGAACTGTGAAGGATAAGCCTAATTTCAAAGTGGATGAAGATGTGTCTGCACTAAAGAAGGCTATGGAGGGCATTGGTATGTTAATTCACCAGTATCTAATATACAAGACCAACATATAAAGCTGTTTAATCATTATTTACTCTGTGTAATGTGTACATGTGTGTGTTAGTTAGGGTTTGGAATCACTGGATGCTACAACTATTATCAAGAAACGTAATAAATATTAATGATTAATTTTTTTAAGAGTGTATTGATACAATGTTATCACACAGAATTTCGCAATACTATGCTGGTATCAAATTGTTCCCACACCTGTCTGTTTGTAGAACAAGTGATTGTATGAGGTTTGAGACCTTGACTGATTTGTGATGTCTCTTCTCTACAGGTACGACAGAAAAGACACTTATTGAGGTGTTGACCCAAAGAAGTAATGCTCAGCGTCAGCTCATCGCTAAGGCCTATGAGAAAAAAAACGGAAAGGTATAATGTACTTCTATAAACTCAATATTATTTCAAAATAATGTCGTACAGTTAACCAAAATCTGTTTTATTAACATTCCTCCATCAGAAACTGATAGATGATCTGGAGGGCGACACCCAAGGAGACTTTGAGGACTTGTTGGTTGCTTTGGTAACGCCAACCGCTGTCTACGACTGCCAGGAAGTCATCAAAGCCATCAAGGTTAGATTTGGTCGGGTTAACTTTAAATGCCCTGGTTCATAAAATAAATTGTAATGGCCATACATTTTGGTTGTATTGCAAACAGGGAGCAGGGACAACTGAGTGTACGCTGACAGAAATCTTCGCTTCGAGATCCAACAAACAGATCAAGGCCTTGTCTGAAGCATACCTCGCAGGTTGGTATCCTAAAGACAAAGTATTCATAATTTCATCAGTTAGATAGTCACTTGTTGGCAAATACTCATTAAGCAATGTGTCTACACAGTTGTGAAATTCTCCTTTTGTGCTGTTTTATTCAAGAAACTGGAAAAGCGCTGATTCATGATCTGAAGTCGGAGGTATCTGGAGAGTACGGCAAGGCACTGCTCATCTTGGCTGAGGTACTGTATGTTAAATTGAGACAATAATTTGCTTGCATTCCTGAGAAATCATCAAAAGTAATTTTAGCTAGACAATCTACACGTTGAGAATAAATGTTTCATAAGTCTGGCTTCAGTTATTGGCCTGAATTGTAAAATGGCTAACTATGTTCTCTACATACCTGTTCATCTTTGGAAAGATTGTAATCCTTAATACCAGAGTGTGACAAAGTATGATAAAAATGGCATCATTTGATAAAGCAAATTCTAAAAACATTGGATTCAGTCTATTTAACACAAAAATGTATTCTTCTTTTTTTCTTAACAGGGGAAGAGAGACGAGAGCACCAATGTGGACGCTGCTAAAGCTAAAGCAGATGCTAAGGTATATTCATTGCCTCATATCCACTAGTTTCTCAAGTACATTTAGTATACTAATACAGGATAATACATTCATGTTTTGAAGTCAACATAAACCTCAAATAAAAAAATGATCTTGCTAATTCAAGTCTGAACCTGCTTTTGTTTGTATTCTCACACTCACTCTCATTCTTTGCAGGCCCTGTATGAAGCAGGGGAGAAGAAATGGGGAACTGATGAGGATAAGTTTATCGACATCCTGTGCCACAGGAGTGTTCCCCAGCTGCGACAGAGTAGGTTCAACCCACACATTTTTTTATCTGTATGCTAATAAAATACAAGACTACCAGTATGCAGCCCACTGGCGCCTGTGAGGTTGTACAACAGTGTCTGTTAACATCAACATGCTAACGTGCTGATGTTTACCTCTACGATTTTTAACATCACCATCTTTGCTTTAGCTTGCTAGCATTTGTTAATCAATACTAAATGCAAAGTAATACTAATAGTGTGGATGATGGTAATGCCATTAGTTTAACTTGACAAATACAAATGTTATGATATAGAATGTGTGCACCAAATTACCCTGGAAATTAATCCAGAATATATTCCGTGGGGAACAAAACAATTGCATGGCAATCGAAAAGGTAGAGACATTAAATGCAATGCCGCTAGCATGGCTAAACAACTATTGATGTAATTTTTACTTTGCCACCTGACCAAATCGCTGATGTCTTCTAACAGCTCTGGTAGAGTACAAGAACATTAGCAAGAAGACTCTGCAGGAGAGCATTGAGAGCGAGATGTCTGGAAACATCGAGGCGCTACTTGTTGCTGTTGGTGAGAAAAATGTGCCATGTTGTCTGCCTATTTCTGATCCTCACATCTTACAATTAACATAATATTGATTAGAAAACATGTATTAACATATGTTTTTTTATTAGTGAAGTGTGTGAAAAACGTTCCTTTATACATGGCTGAGACCCTTTTCAAGAGCATGAAGGTAAGTGATACAATATGTCTATCTATAACTTAAGCACCTTTTCAAACACCAGAGCCAGTGGCCCCCAAAACAAAATTATTTGTTTGGTTACACCCTTTCACTTTTAGCCACAGCAGACATGTGTTCATCACCAGTGGTGTGGAAAGGAATGCTTAGCCACTGTTTTATAGCTGCAGCTTTGACTAAATGTGCACCACTGCTTATTTCCCAATTGTTCTTTTGTCTAGGGAGCGGGGACCACCGAGTCCACTCTGACCAGGATTATAGTGAGCCGCTCTGAGGTGGACCTGATGGACATCAGAGCACAGTATAAGAAGGTGTTTGGATTGACCCTCTACTCCCAGCTAGAGGTCTGTGCACACACCTAGATTAAACTGAATTTTCAATACCATTTAAGTAAACATTTCAACAGTTTCAAGTGCTTATTTTGAGATATGACGTTCCCCTAAAACCCTGTTCTCTCTCATGTTTGTGTAGTCTGAAGTGTCAGGCAGCTATGGCGACGCCCTCAAGCATCTCTGTGGCCAAGATGAGTGACTCCTCCAGACATCTGTGATGAGAAACATGTGGTGCAGAGGGGAAGAACCGCAGCTAATGACCAGTCCCTGACCCTTCCAAAAGCATCGCACATTTTCTTTCTGGAACTAATCATCTAGAAATGCTTTTACATGTGGAATTCCAGTAATTTTCAACCAGACAGCTGACTGGCTTAAGAAGAAGTACGGACAAGAAGATGCTGATGAACGTCTTATAATATATATATATAATAGTTTGTATTACATGTATAAAACATAATCAACATGTCTTACCAAACAGTTGTTATTGCATATTGTAACTGAAAGTGAACCTATAAGTTGGAACAATAATAACTAATGTCATACATTTCTCATCAAAGAAAATAAACATTTTGTATTCTACTATTTGATGTGAGTGAGCAAAAACAACACCATTTCATTTATATATATAAAAAAAAAAACAGATTTTATTTTAGGGTTTTGTTAATGTTGCTGTAACCGACTCCTACACAGGTCATCAGGACCTTGTCCCCCCCTTTCCTTTCGTCTTCTGAAGGCTTCTGAACCTGGATCTTGAACATGATCTGGAAGAAATCTCTAATGTGTCTGAGGAACTCGATCCTGGAGAGACAGTGAGGGAGAGAGAGGAAATAAGTTTAATTTGTAAGGGAGGCGTTGCTCCTTGAAATGAAATATTGTCCAGCTATCAATAAATCATACACCCTGGGAGTTTAAGAACACAGTGTCCCAGGAGTACTCAATGTAGACTAAGGTCATAGGTTATTAGTAGCAATTTTTATGCATTTCTCAAAGCTAGGGTGTTCAATATGTATAAAGACAAAGCCGATTAACAGAATACAAATATGCAAATGTTTAAGCTGGATTCCATTGGTCTTCAGAAAACAAGAAATGAGCATTACCTGAGTAAGAAGAGGAATGCATTGTGATGGCACTGCCAATCTTCAGTTATCATAGTACTGTACTTAAGAGGGACACAGCACCGGTACCATGATAACTGAAAATGGACAGTTCATAGTTCATTCCTCATTCACGATGATGTTGTCTGAAATCAACATGACATTATTATCCTTATATTCATTCTAATATATTATTAAAGATTTAAAGCGGTTTGCCTACCAGAAAATATTCAAGTTAATATGAAACCTAAACTGTTAATATATCAGTTTATCACACATACACAAGGCACACTCTATAAACACACGGACCATGTTAAAGCACAGCTGGACAGGTCCCATGATAATGCATTCCTTCAAAAGCATGTGAGAAATGTGAGGACATTTAACCTGTGATTCATCGTCAGCTGAATTTCACTTGGGGATTTTCTGCTAGTTGAAATAAAAATAAATAAACTTTTTTTCAATGTAACAAAATACATAAAAAACAGTTCACTTGAACTTGTTTACTGTAAACTGCAGGCCCCCCCGTGTGCGTTTGAAGCAAGAAAAACACTTTTGGTTGCATGGGCCTTCAATTTAGTTAAAAACTAGTTTAAAATGTTTTAATTCTATTATTTTGCAAGTGAAAAACACAAACCACAAGGCTAATGTTTAACACACGGATGATTGTTTTTATTATGCTCGACAGTTGGACGAGAACTTTGGAATATCTGCACTTGCAAAAGATGGGATAAGTAGAAGAATACCAAAGTGCTTCTTTGTGGTGACTTATAAACAAGCTATGGCAGGAAGCTATGTGTGTCTGTCATTGAGTGACGGTGGCTTACGTGTGTGGGGAGAGGGGTCCGAGCAGAACCTTCGACACGTCCTGTTGGCCAAGGGTCATCAGGAGCAGCGCCAGGCTTTGATTGGAGGAGTCCACACAGCCACCCTAATACAGAGAAAGAGGAGGGGCGATGCGTTCAGCAACAAAAACAACTTCGAAACACGTCATGGAGGTGGAGATGTTGGAAAGAACTCGGTAACCCCTCGACAGGATATTGATTATCTCAGGTTCATTACCCAACAATATTTGCAAAACATAGTGAGCATCCAATAGTGGTTGTATGTTTTTGTCAGCTCTGGAAACGCATATAGTTACTTTAAACTTACAAGAAAATACATTATGAATCAGAGAACACAACATGTTTGTCTTGTTTTTCACTAAATGACTCTGGGTTTTCCTGCCCTCCCCCCTTTTCTTCGACATATGACATATTTAGAGGACAGACGATCCACTCTCTGTATCCAAGTGATCACATGCCATCGTGACAACAGCTACGTGCTTTCCACCAGCCTGTATGAAGGGCCTATGCAACTCTGGAAACACCCCAATTTACATTTAAAAAAAGAAAAGAAACCAACATTAAAATGGCCATCTATTCTGTGGATCTGTCAGTAAAGTGAAAAATGAGTTTCCTCAATAGCACATCTATTCTATGCATGTGAGCATGATCCCAAGTCACGCAGTATTATTGCATCGTGACAGCAGGAATATTATTAAATTACATAATCATATAACTGAAGCCACGGCAAAACTATGGAGACATTGTTTTTTTTGCCAATGCGGCAGAAATGTTGCCAACTGCATTCCTCCTATGAGTGATTGATGGAACTAGGTATTCTGTGAAAACAAATTCAAACAAATACTTCATGACTTCCAATATGCAACACTTCCATTGCAGTTCACCATTATACTCCATTGACAAGCCTTCAGACTAGCATTTTGTTATGAATTTAACTGTATAATGCACATTTATTAATGCGTATTAAACACGAAATAGCTGTTACTTTTAATCAAATAAGCAAATACTTCATACTGTCTGGATACAAGAGAGAATTTTCATATTAGTATTTTCAAGAAATTCTACCAATCACAATTAATTTGCCTCCAGTAAAAACTCAAAGATGATCATTAGGCGCAATAAAGGATCTCAAGGTTTAAGGTTGATTTGCTATTTTACAGCTTTATCCAACCACTGAGAGCACCTATAATTGAGTATTTAAAGATATGTTGTGCCCGTAGGACCTTACCTTTGTGGGTTGCCTCCTATCAGTTCAAAAGAAGAAGTGCAACACATTACTATCATTTGTAGCTAGTTTCAGGCCCTGCCTCTACAGACTCTCCCAAGAGGCCACCAACAGACAAGATCTGATGGAAAAGTCCCTTAAATCCTTCCACTGAAATGGTATCCCCCTTTCAAACAAGCAAACAAAAAAAAGTGGTCGCAGACAAACTTAAGCTAGTCAATAAAATGGCAAATCAATAGCCAAATTCCAAGATATTACTTGACCTAAACTTGTAAAAATGTGTCAAAAGGGTGAAATAAAAACCAAATTCAGCACCATTCTTAATTAAGTAGAAAAAAAACAACCTGAAATATGTTATTGGAAACACTTACATCAGCTCCTGTCCAGTGTTGATGTTGCTTCCAAAAACAAAATGTCCATCGTGTGGCTTTGGGTTACTACAAGAAACTGTACTGATTAACCATTAGACAAACAGACGCACATGATAGAGAGCTTCCATGCCCTTTAATGTGAATCCAGCTTATTTCTTTCTCAGTTTTCAAAAATTAACTATTCCAGCACTAATGTCTGACATCCATTTTACTCTGGTGTTATCATTTCTATTCTCCGCTGTAGAAAATGCTCTGACGCCTCGCTACAGTTAGGTATTAGAACCAGTTAATCAAATGCTGTCCAGCTTCTGTTTATCAAAAAAGGAAAGAAGCGTTTTAAACTAGTTTTTCTTAAGAGTTTCTTTCGTCCACCACCCTCTGAGGCTGCTAAAGACAAACTCTGTGGCTTGGATTCAAGAGGATGCATCCAACAATATTCCTTAATCAGCCCTACCCTGACCAGCTAACTGGACTCACATGGCTCCTCTGAGAGAAGCAGAGCCTTGTGGAGGCAAAGTGAAGTCACAAACACTTGATCTAATTCTACATACTCTGATGAAAGTGGGCTCTTTTTCCTGACTATGTGACAGTCTTTATGCCAAGTTAGTTTATGTATACAGCCATTACTACACGTCACACTACAGCATAGAAATATATGGATATAATAAATGTGACTTATGGGTTATTTTTCTGAGGCCTCAAGCATATTAACAAATTACTGATCAAGAAATCCTTATTCATCGAGAAATTAATGACGATAGGATCACACATTATTCATTTGACACGTCACATAACCAGGTTAAACCCTGACCTTTGACCTCTGCACAAACATATTTGTGGCTCGAGTAAGATAGCGGTTTTCTCTTCATCATAGATAATAACGGTTTTAAATCCAGGTATTTATTTAATTCATCATGGCATTTTCTTCAACAAGGTCATGTAGCTTTTAATTTCATATGGAAAATGCAACATATGGGTTGTCGCCAAATGCGAGCCAGCCTCTGATGGATAAGTAAAAACAATCAAAAAAAGTAATAAGTATGTAGTATATATATATATATGTCTTAGACAAAAGTGTCATAGGAAAAAAATCAATGAGACTCGACCAGTCAGGGGAACATACTTCTTTTAAGGCACTGTTAAGTTCTACCAACACACTGACTTACATGCATGACGTTTAAACAGGCCATTACATCCATAGGAATGGAATTTAGAAATATTCTGATTTGATTTAAATGAAAATACGCTTTTGTTATATTATACTTTCCTTCTTCATTGTGGTTCTTCCCACAAGCAGTTTCTCAGAATGCCCGACTGGGGTCATTACTGGAGAATGCGGGTAAACAAGAGAAGATAGTGTTGGTAGCGCATGCTCGGACTCTAATAACTAATAGTGTGTCCTGACCTTGTATTTCAGGTATTCCCCAAGAATTTCAAAATCTCTCGAGACAGGGTAACAATAGATTTTCCAGCTGCTGTGTGCAGGAACATTCCGACTTAATAGCATCTTCCAGTGATAAAAAAGATGCAAAAAAATAAAATAAACTTTGAGTGAGTTAAACATAAGCAAAGTATTATAATAAAGTATATACACTTCATAGTGAAAAAACATTACAGGAAGTGACGGATAACTTTTTGCAAATGTATTTTCAACATAAAAGTGACTACTCAGCATCCAAAGTTAGAAAGAATATAGCCATTGAATTTGAGTTGGATGTGATCTGTCAACCATTATCAGACTTGAGTACAGCAGGTAAACATCACGGTCTGCTGGAACTATTCAAATAAACAGCACAGGCTTGGTATTTTGAAGGGCAGCTGCTTTGAAAATCAGTTAGGCGACAAAAGAGCTCTCAGTAGCATGAACTATCAGAGCAACTGAAAAACACTGAGCGCAATAATGTAGCAAACCAATATCCAGCCTTCACGCATTGGATCAAAGTGCTGCCATTATGGGCCAAGGTCCCGGTTAGACAAGGCCTGAAAACATTGGACACATTCCTGTGAACGTCTGCTTGAGTTTCTACACCTGTTCACAATTAAA